TACATGCAACCCACATGTTGTTATAAAATGTCACAGTCATTTTTCAACAATAATAATAAGGCTACATTTATATCATGACGGTATGAACTGAAGGCTGTACCAAATGGTGAAGTTTCTTGAGTGCATCACATGTGCATATTAAACATTGAATTTATATATTTGTTTGACTATTACACATTGAGTTGTTTAACCACTGAAATCTTATGTACCAAATGGTACCACTGTGTGAAACATGTATGCTTTTGAGGTAATCCTTTGCAGATATAGGTTGTGTCCTTTTAAGGAAGTTCTTTGCAGAGCAGCGACTGTGGAGATGGTTCGGCCTGGTGCGAAACTAAACAAACTGGTGATTTACATTGGGCTGCTGTCAACTCCTTAATAATAAACCTAAAGGAATGCAGAGATACTCCAAGGAAGATTCAAGGCGTTACCTGTTCAACATATTATTTGCATATTCATATGAATGTCTATAAAATCTGATTTGAGGTATTCAGAGGCGTCCAGATTAGCCTGGTTTAAGACCTGTGTAGCTGTAGGCGGTCAGGGGTAACGATCTGACCCAGAGCTCTGTATTAGAATTGTATTGTTTAGGGAATAAATTCTTTTTGATTTTAATTGATCGATTCCAGTGGTTATTTTTAAGAGAACACGCTTAATGGATTTTGAAGATACCTAACAGAACAGAAGACACAAAAGTGGCGTCGCATCTTCACTTTTTATTCTGCATTTAGACGAGCATTTTCGGGAGGAAATCTGCGTGCATATCGTGACGCAAAAGTGCGTGGAATTTGATTGGGTATGCATGCCAGGCGGCATTCATTTAAAGCAACAAGGGAATCTTTGGACATAGAGAAGTTTTCACGCCAGACATTTTTATCAGCTACTTCTTCCACAAAGTTTTTCCACCATCGACTGGTTCTCCAGGACTCGTCCATAGACATCTGGCTCTTCTGCGATGAACTAGTGCATCCAGAATTTGACAGAGGTGATTGCAGATCCTTCTCTGTTCACTAATATTATCTCTGCATATTCTGTACATTTGTTGGGACATTTGTTTCTGTGTACTGTATGTATGTGACGTAAATGCATACGCGACATTAGCAGATCTGACCAGAGTTTTGCGTCTTGGGCATTGTAGACAGAAACACTACGGGGGAGCATATCCAACTTTTCCACTCTGGACGGTGGTTTCAGATTTTTGAGTTTTAAACCCCAAAAACGCTGTCACCATCTAAACGAAAGGCACTTCCCATAAAATATTTTGTCATTTTTACCCGCAAGCATTCTCATGTAAACAGGCCCCAAGTAAAATTGTAAGTAAGTAGATCTAACTCTGATGATGTTTTCTTGAACAGCGTATTTGCTTGCTTGTATGACTGGACATCCAGCAAATGTACTCTGCTGAATTGGTTCTCTACTTGTGTGTCTAAGTGAGTTCTCCTCTCTTGGTCCTCTTGTTCTGATGGAGCCTTCGAGACACTCAGAGACAAACCCTGCAGCTGTCCAGATGGGCCTTTAACAGTGCTCTGCTGGGTGCTTCTGTGGGCCCAGGCTTCAGGTAAGGGTCTTCAATGGTCTTCAGAGAATCATTTTTCTTCTCTGACACAGCAGGGTGTTTCAGGGTTTATAAAGTACTCCAAGAAAGCACTACATGACAAGGTGCAGGGGGATGGTGACCTTGGAATATTTACCTTTTGCACAAGTTGGACTATCATGTTTGAAGGTTACAAGTAGCTATGGGACCTATTCGGTGCATGGAAATATTCAGTCTGAAAGAAGTTTAAGGCTTTTTCTGATTTGCAACTGCAAATATGTGCTGCTGTGAAAGTGTACAAAAAAGAGAAGAAATGCATGTTTTTGTGCCCTCAGTCAGAGTATGTACAGACTGTATAGAAACGCTGTTTTTGCCTGCTTCTGCTATAAATATGAAAATGTGGGCAGAGGGGCTGGCAGGGCTAACTTACAAAGGACCTACAGATAAACAACAGACTATTCACTCTCTTATTCATGTATTCATCAGGAATAATAATAAAACTGTATGCAACCTATGGTCAAAACAAGGAGACAAAACTCACAACGAGAACAAGCAGACATCACTGCAGGAGTGCTATCACTCTGCATTTGGCATGAAAACAATCTTACTGTGTGTGAGCTGCAACACAATTAATATTTAATTATGAAAAGCATATTTTTTTTGTTTTTATAATGGCTTATTTTAAAGGTGCTCTAACAACTGTTATTGCTTTGCTTTGCATGTTCCACAATGTGGCGTTGAATTTATCTGTGTGAACAAGCTGGTCGAGGTTTAGTGCCAGGAGGTTAAGTAAGATCTGTGGAGAGAGAGACAACTGAACTGAATACATGTTTAGAAGGTATTTTTGAGCAATAAAAACACTGAATAAATACCAAGAGTTTATTGCCATAGAGTAGAACAATCCAGGCAAAGCAATAACTTCTCCGTAGAGCAGGGGTACTCAATTATAAACTCAAACGGTCCACTTACCAAATTTATAGTTTTTCCAGGGTCCGAAAAAATCACGGTGTATTTCCAAACTTAGAACTTCTAACAAAAAAATGTATAATGTATAATGTATGTGCAATGTATGTGTGTTCTGTCTGAATCAGTGTGAAAAGTGACACTTTTTCTGTGCCACCAGTTCTTTAAACTTGGGCACAAAAGGTGGGAGAGCCAAGAGTAGGCACTGGTGTAAGTGTTCATTAGCGTGAGCATTTTTTTAATGCTTTTTTTTTATACAGAAACACATCCAAAAAGCACATGCCAGTGAAATATGACGTGGATCCAGAATGCTATGAAAAAAGAGAAATTTTTTCTCAGTCCGGATGTCATTGTGTTTGGGTCCACCAATCGAGTACCTCTGCCATAGAGAGGTTGCAGACTTTCCACCAGAAAAGCTGTAGTGAAATGACAGGGGAATGTACCAAAGAAAGTTAACTTTAAAACATCTACTTCTGTCTTTCACACCCACTATATGGCTAAATGGCTTTACACAATGTTCCTCTGTATGCACTCTGCATTCATGCTTATAAATCTGAAAATTGCTTAGGGTTTGTGCTCTCATTTCTTCTATATAGGACACCAACAGGCGGGCAGAAGAGTGCTGAGACAAATTCCTGAAAACACCCAGAAAAAGCTTTAAAATGAAACTGCTAAACTTCAGACCTATTTTTCACTTTTTAGCACAAATCAAAAATGTTTTAGGTTGATTTGCTCTTGGGGAGAGCTGGATTCAGACGAGACCTGAGCACTAACATAGACTGCCGGTGTGTTCACGACTTTTCCGTTACATGTCAGAGCCTGCCACTAAAATAGATGGTGTGAAGTCATGGAGCTTGTGTGAATGAGGATGTGTGGTGAGAGAGAGAGGGATAGAAAGAACAGAGGAAAAAAAAGAGAAGGGAAAGGGATTTTGACTGGATTTGTTGAATTCAGGAAGCTGAAATGAGTTCAGATTGGAGCATGATTTGGCATGGATAACTGGGAGTCCCTTACACAGTATGAGGGAGAGTTACATCTGGGAATGCATCTGCTGTCAACACTTTGCCAATAAATTCTTTTTTTATGGTGAATATTCTGAGCACAGCATGTGAGAAGACAAACTATTTGCTGTGATCCAGGAAATAATCATTTGCAAGAACAGACAATTTTTACTCAAATGAGACTAAACCTGGAACAAACTTGGATTACTACAGTACCAACACTAGAGCAGTACCAAAACAAGAGCAATACCAAGTAGAGCTGTGCCAGAAATTGGAAACTTTAGTCAGACTTGATGATAAGACAAGCTTATTTTAATTGACCGACCTAAAGCCTATCCTGTGGCAGAGCTTGTGATAATGAAGAGGAGTCACTGCTCTTTTGTTTAGGTCTTTTTATGTCTTCTTACCTGTCCTCGCGATCTGACTAAAAGTCTAGCAGCTCCTTTCCTCTGTCTTATAGCCTCAGATCCTCAACTTTCCTCCTCTTTCTCTGCTCTGGTGCTTCTTATCTTTATAATCCAAGTTAAGGAAAGTAAAATAAAATTTTCTCACCATTTATGAGTGAAACTAAAGACCTCATTTAGCTCACGGACCTCGCTTCACTCATTGAATCTGTAACATTTTTCAGCCCCTGGGATGTTTTCTTCCTTTGTATATTCTGGATCCCAGCCAAGCCGATCGTAGTAACACATTCTACAGTCATTCCAAACTTTAAATGTGGATTATTCATCCTATATTATCAAACATATCCCTAACACCCTGCTCTTTATACCTGAAGTCCACCTGTTTATGTTTTCAATAAAATGGAAGAAAACTGATCAATATGTGGGAAAACATTGTGATTTGTTTTTTTGTTTTTTGTTTTTTCTTTCCAGAATTAAACAGAGGCACCTTTAAAATGTAATTTCAAGAACTATTTTGGCATTAATATTTTATGGGGCAAAGCAAATTTTAGTGAAAGAGGTAAAGAGCAAGGAGAGACATTCAGCATTCATCAAAGCTGGGACTTGAATTCATAATGTGCAGCACTTTTACTAATCCTACCAAGTACCAATTTACGACTTTAGTATCTCGCAATAATGTATAATCAAAAGAAGTATTACGCATGATTTTACATTTTATATCTTGGAGTCAATCCCAGGAGGGCATCAGATATTTCATCATCCATTCACTATTTACATAAAATTTGACCAAGATTAGCCCATCTTGAAAAGTAGTACTAATTCTCAAACTTTCAAAGAAACAGCAATTCTTAAATCTGAAATAAATTTTAAAGATTTCAAACTAAAAATGAGGAAAACATTTTTTACTTGTCTGGGAAAAAATTCAAAAAACATGAGCTGTGTACTGCCATTAAAAGCAATTTGACCAACCACTGTGAATTACCTGGGTTCACGGTCATAATATATTTACAAAACTATCACCATTTAAGTCACATTGGATTTTCAGACCACACCAAAGCAGTGACAAGTACAGTCTCACTCTCTCCACTTTGTCCTAACCTAGTCATGAAGATTGTTATTCGAGTAGAAGCTGGAGGCCTCCGATACAGTTTTGGACATGCTCCGGGACAACGATCCATTGGAGGTGAGGTCCAGGGAGGAGCTGAGGAGAGCTGGCCCAGAGGCAGTGACGCTTTTGGGCTTGGCCGTGTCCCCGTCGTCCCCTACCTGGAGGACGGTGGACACGCTGGTCTCCATACGGCTGGCTTTGTAGACACTGGTTTGGGTTTGGAGGTACCTGGTGGACTTGAGTTCCAGACCCTCGTAGGAGCCGCGAGGGACGCACGGGCAGCAGCGAAAAGCCTGTTTGAAACCAGCTCGGAACCTGGAGACACAAAAGAAGTACGTTTATAGCAGGTCTGTAGTCGGCTAAAGAAAGATGCCCCCGCCTAAAGCTATTACATTATCTCTCTGAGTCAATCTGCACCCACAAGACTGTGCAAAAGTTCATGAAAAACAACTATTTATGCAGAAAAATAATAGGAAACAATCTAAACACACAGGGCTTATTTGCATATCAATAAACAGAAAAATGTTTGAAGTTGCTCTAAACTTTTAAAAATGTGCTTTATAGTTACGTTCACTTTCTCTTTAGTCTCACCTGTGGGGCAAGGATGCAAAGACAAGGAGGCAAAGACACAAAAGAAAGGGCACAACGAAGCAAGAAGGTAAGGACAAAAGGAAGCATAGAAGGTAAGGACACAGAAATGCAAGGAGGAAAGAACACAAGGAAGCAAGGAGGAAAGGATGCAAGAAAGGACGCAAGGAAGGAAGGCGGTAAGGAAGCAGAGGGCACAAGGATGCAAAGATACAAGGGAGCAAGGAAGGAAAGGATGCAAGGAAGGCAGGAGGTAAGGAAACAGAGGGCACAAGGATATAAGGGAGCAAGGAAGGAAGGAGGTAAGGAAGCAGAGGGCACAAAGATGCAAGGATATAAGGGAGCAAAGAAGGAAAGAGCTAAGGATGCAAGGATACAAGGAAGCAAGGAAGGAAAGGATGCAAGGAAGGATGCAAGGAACGAAGGGGGTAAGGAAGCAGAGGGCACAAGGATGCAAGAATACAAGGGAACAAGGAAGGAAGGAGGTAAGGAAGCAGAAGGCACAAGGAGCAAGGATACAAGGGAGCAAAGAAGGAAGGAGGTAAGGATGCAAGGATATAAGGAAGGAAGGAGGCAAGGGTGCAAGGGTGCAAAGATCACAAAGATGCAAAGAAGCAAGGAAGCAAGGAGGTAAGGGCACAAGTATGCAATGAAGGAAGGAGGAAAGGAAGGACTGTTAATACAAAAGACAATCTTGTTTACAAAAATGTGCAAAAGAATGTGGATTGTCTTTATAGGAAATGTAAAACCAGTGACTTCCTGTGAACTGATCACAACAAATACCAGTAGTAGTAGTTTTAGTTGGACGAAATATATAAAAGACAGACTGAAGTTAGAAGAATTGCAGGTGCCATTTTCCTGTGTATTTATATCTTAACGTGGATAATCCCAAAGACAATCAAAGAGAAATGTCAGCAACAGAAAGTTACTTTTTATACAATGAATTCTCTATTTTTTATAAGTATTTGCTCAAGAGCCGTATTTACACAAACGGACACATTGTGTAATTAGGTTTGCCAAGTACACAAGAGGCTTAGACTGTGCTCTAGAACCATCAAGTCACACTTCCAGCCTCTCTTTCCCCCTCCCTCTCTCCATCCTCCTCCCTCTCTATCTCTCTCCACGTCCCTGTCTCTCGTTCTCCCACTCCCCATCTCTCTCCTCCTCCTCCCTGTCCCTCTCTCCTCCTCCTCCCTGTCTCTCTCTCTCTCTCCACCTCCTTTTCTCCTTCTCTCCCGCTTCCTGTCTCTCGTTCTCCCCCTCCCCATCTCTCTCCACCTCCCTATCTCTCTCCCATTCCCTGTCTCTCTTTCCCCCTCCCTTACTTCTCCTCTGCCCCACCGTCTCTCTCCTTCTCTGTGTCTCTCGTTCACCCCCTCCTCCTCCTCTCTCTCCATCTCTCTCCACTCTCTCTCTCTCTCTCCCTCCTCTCCCTCTCTCCTCTCCTGTCTCTCTCTCCTCTCTCCTCTGTCTCTCTCTCTCTCCACCTCCCTGTCTCTCTCTCCCTCTCTCTCTCTCTCTCTCTCTCTCCTCCTCCTGTCCCTCTCTCTCTCTCCTCTTCTCTCCTCTCTCTCTCTCTCCTCTCTCTGTCTCTCTCCCTCCCTTCTCTCTCTCCCTATCTCTCTTTCCCCTTCCCTGTCTCTTTCACACCCTCCCTTACTTCTCCTCTGTCTCTCTCCCTGTCTCTCTCTCCTCCTCTGTGTCTCTCATTCACCCCCTCCTTCTCTCTCCTCCTCTGTCTCTCTCTCTCTCCACCTCCTTGTCTCTCTCTCTCCCCCTCCATCCCTCTCTCTCCCTTCCTGTCTCACTCTCTCCTCGTCCTTGTCCCTCTCTCCCCCTCCATCCCTCTCCCTCCTTGTTTCTCTCTCCTCCTCCCTGTCTCCCTCTCCCCCTCCTTCTCTCTCTCCCCCTCCTCCTCCCTCTCTCTCCCCACCCCTCCTCTCTCTCCCTCTCCCTCTCCCCCTCCGTCCCTCCCTCCATCCCAGCAGCCGAGCCCACAGCAGCACATCAAAAGCACAGATCATGAAACAGAGCCTTGTATCTGCCAGAGGAGTCCAGCTCACACGGTTCAGGTACACGTTCTTCATTAAAACCTGTGTCCACATGAGTGACACCTCGTCCATGGGCTCAGACAGGTGAGGGAGCGGAGCAGATCATGGCACGTTCCCGCTCCATGTGAACACGCAGCCTCTGTTTAGTCAAGCTTAAGTTATCCGGATTATGTGGCTTGTTTGTGGGATGTTCTGACATAACAGCGCACTGACGCACTGTTGTCATGATACTAACATTTCAAACACCATTCAGAGTGCATTATGTAACTTTTTGGTTGGAGGACCATCACCTGTCTGCACCTGTTTTTATGGAAATGTCATTGCTCTGCCTCGAATGTTCCACAGTGTGACATTAAACAGCTCAACCTCACAGTTACTCAGTTACAGCTGGTTTTATAACTCATGAATACCTTGAGAAACGGGTTGCCTCTCCAAAATTCTGACCTGTAACTTGGTCTGGTTTGGTCTCCACGGAGATAGAAAGGTTTAAAGCCATACTGTGAAACATTTCAGACAAAGAAATAAGAGCTCCGTGGAGAAAAGCCTTCCACCAGAAAAGTTACGCAATCCACCTTTAATAGTAAGGAAAATGCTCGATACCATAAATATGTTAAAACACACACACTTAGAAGCAACAACAAAATAATAATAATAATAATAATAATAATAACAGTGCTTTTTAAAGTGACTATATGGTTCTATACTGATGTTGTTCAAGATTACTCTAAAACTGTTCAAGAAAGATCACATCTATGGAATTTTTTTAGGTATTGATACTTGGATACTGGTTTTAGTATCAGTTAGTATCAGATTTTTGACATCCTGAGTGAGGTGTCAAGTTTTTTGGGTCACTTTTAAATGGCATCTAGTGTTTTTTTTAGCTGGTTTTATATAGATTTAGCCATTTACTACTTAAAAGTCACAATCACAAGGCAGGTTCAAGCTTTGCTCAATGACACAAAAAGAGTGGGGCTGCACTATTTAGCAAAAATATATCTTAATGCAATTTTTCTGATTTATTTTTTAATATGATTTTAACCACGTCCAGAAGAAGTGACAAAAAGACTGAAATATGAACAGACACAATACAAGATACAAGAAACACATTTCTTTTCCCACACATGGGCAAATACATGTTTGCCCACACCTGAATGACAGGGTTAGCAGGATATTTTGTTGTGTGTGGAGAAAATGATGGTACTTCAAAATTGCAGCCTTTGCGATTTGCGGATTGCTCCCATTAGAATGGGCACCCCAATTTTAGGCTGAATCTCACTCTGTCCCTGTCAGCTGCTGCCACATTTAGATCCACTAACATTTTGTCAAACCATATTACAAAATAGTTCAGTTCAGTTTTCCTAGACAAACATGCATTTTCTTCTGGGTGCTAAACTTGAGTGAAAACTTTCCCTGTGAATATGGTCTGCGGTTGCCAGATTGGCTCTCATCCTGCAGGCTGCAGCTCAGGCTTGTTTCATTAACTTTTGGAGCATCGCCTTGTGGACGAATTGGCTATTCTCATTTGTGCATTGTGTACTCAATTTGTGAATATAATATGTTTGTTTAGAAAGATCATAATAAAATATAAATCATATTAAGTATATCCAATTAATGCACAGCAATAAATAATCAAAAAAGTGAATTAAAGGGCCGGTTTCTATTTATTCAAGCAAAATTTGTCTTGCCCCAGTACAGATATATTGTATGAGAAGCTCTTGACGTCAAAGTATTTCAGCTCTGTACTGTCTGCATTAAATTAAACAAGATTTTATTGTCCTATAATCAGGAAGTATGCATTTGCTTTAATGTCATGGAAAATGTTCATACTGGCTTTAATACTGTCATTTATTGTGCTGTTTTGGTGTCATTTATGTGAAACATAAATGTGAAACATAAATGAAAGTTAATTCTTCAAACTTCAAAACATGGACAAAATGGTGCCGTTTAAAAAATATGAGGAAAAATCTCTTCTCTTTCTTCTCTGCGATTTGCATTTTCAGAGCATTGTAAGCATTTCATGTTTAGAAAATAGCACTACAATTTTGAATTTGAATTTGAAGAAGCACATTTTCATAACAAAACCATTTCCAATCCAATTTCCACACACTACAGTCTTGTTGTATTGGGTCAGCAGTTCAAACTCAGAGGTCTTGCACTGGCGCCGTGAGGGAAAGTGCAAAGTGCATTGTGTATAATTGAGATAATAATAATAATTCCGGTAGAGCTTGCGGTCCATCAGTCTGTTCCATGATGGTAATTAGCACCAAATGTCAACACACACATTTGCTCTGACCTTTTAGAGGAAGCCACACATTTGACCAACTCTCCACCATACGCTGCGTTAATGTAGGACTGACATAAATAATGACCGATAATGGCATGGGTACAAGTTTGGACAATGGAGGCAGGAAAAGGGCAAAGGGCAAAGGTGAAAGAGTGAGGAGTCTCTCAAAGTGAAGACACCAGACAGGAGGAGACAGGACACGGACGAGAAGGACGGGAAGCCATCGATCATGACTCACTTTCAATTATCTGGGACAAAACCAAATCGATATGAAAAAGTCTAGCACTGAAATATCACCTCCTTATAAAACACCTGGATACCAAGAATGGTCCGACACAAGAACAATACACAGGGCTGTGATCAGAGACTCTAATCATTTTGTTATCCAAGCTTTTTATTACTAACATGCTAATTAAAGCTTATATTGATTAAAAACACATAGTGATACAGCAAAAGGAAAAAAAAAACAAAAAAAAACATAACAATTCTTGAATCTAATTTCACAATCAAATTTAAATTCAAATTCAAATTTACACTGCTTTAGATTAATTTAAAGGGACAGTCCGGAATTTTAGACATAGGGCTTCATTTTCTTGTGAGACAGAGTGTTGGAGACGTGTGGAGACACTTTTTTGAATATTCCATCCAGTCCTTGTATTTGCTAGACTAGCACATGTCAATGGCCATAGTTAGCCTGCTACTAAAAACAGTCTTACCCACATAAATCACCCACATAAAATCTCACCATCTAAATAACTTTTGAGTTTTATTTTGATTGATAATTTCCCCTATTGTGGGACAAATAAAGGTTTGTCTTATCAACTCTACTTCTTCTGCTGAGAGGTCACACTTCATTGTGATTGGTTAAATTCACTGTTACTTTCACTGTAACCCTCACCGCCATGACAGTGTGACTAATGTTGAGCTACAACCTGTGGAGCTTTATTGGTGATTTCAAAAACAGTGAATCATCCAAGAATTATACAGGACCCTGCCCTACAGGACACAACAGAATCTAACATTCTGTGAGGATTTTAGCCTGTTGGTGGAGTCGGTGGTGAAGCAGATGCAGCATTAAAAACACTGAATTTGATTATATCACCCATCCCTAAATGCATGTCATTATTTTAGTGCAGTGCATGGAGCTACTTTTAGCATAGAGAATGCTAAGCTCTACCCTCATGTTTATATGTGCTGGCATTTCAGAGACAGGTGGGCAAACTCAAGTCAACCGTTCAGTCCCTTGAGAATCTTATTCTTCAAATGTTTTCAGCCTCGGGGTTTGACGAGGTCTTTTCACAGAGCGAGATTTCTCTACAGGAAGGTGACAAGACTTTTCCAGGAGCACCACCTTGTCACAGCAGCAGCGAGAGCAGTGCATGATGGGATTTCTCAGTCTGATGCATGGCAGGGAAGTTAGATGTGGTTGGAGTCATAAGGTTTCAAAGAGTGTTAGAAATAAGGAATAAGACTTAGACTATTGAATTTAAATGAAATAATTTGGTTTTAGTCACCATTTTGGTGTGAAGTTTGATTTAAAAAGCATTTGCAAAAGCTGCCCAAGGCCAGTCTTGGTATATTCAAGATTTGGTTAAGTCTGGTTAAGATTTGTATACTAGCAGATGGCAAAGAATATTATATATATATATAATAAAAAAATCTAGAGACATTTTATTATAATAAATAAACAGTAAACAAAACAAAAATGTATATAGTTTTTATCTTGCACTAAGCACGAGATATAGAGCAAGATAAAAATCAGATAACTATAATAATCAGACAATCCAGTAATTAGTCCTTATTGTGGGTGTGTGTTAACATGGTCAAGAGAAATCTGATCTGACCAAAAACACAAAAACACCAAATCTGTCTATCTATAGACTGACCCAGGGGTTGCCGCTGTATGTGGTGCGTATATAAACAGAAAACAAAACAAAACACTGAAAGCAGATTTAAACTAATTCCTTTTAAATGGTTTGCAGTGGTCCAAAGTGATTCCTCTTTTCACAACTCTCAGAAACCAGAGCAGAGTTTTCCCCAACAACAACTGGCAACTTCCTGATTATTTTACTACAAAACATTTCATAAATGGTAAATGGTCTAATTTTTTACAGGCCATTTCCACCCAATTCACATGCACACATTCCTACCCCAGTGAACACAGACACTAGGGGCAATGTGAGTTAAGCATCTTGCCCAAGGACACAACAACAGCATTCATTTATGGCATTGTTTCCCAAAGACTAGGTCGTGACCCTCAGGTGGGTCACAAGGGTGTCACGATCTGCATGTAGGTCTGTAATATGCATATACATGCATCTCTGCACACCTCTGCTCCTCACTTTCTCGGCAGCACTGTCTTGCCTAACTAGTTTTCTGTGGGAAACACTGATTGCTGTTTTCCCTTGTTTAAAACATGAGTACTGTATTTTTCGGACTATAAGGCGCACTTAAAATCCCTTTATTTTCTGAAAAATCAAGAGTGCGCCTTATGTATTAATTCTAGTTGTACTTACTGACCGCAAAATGATTTTCACATATATTCCACTGAGTCGTGTTCTTTAGTCCGACAGAAGCTGTCACATCAGCAGCACAAGGAGCGAGCTGTTTTCTTTAATCGCTTATAGTTCATGCAAATGAGTCATATGGTTTTAAGTTTTGTTTCTGTAAAATTAATTGCATTAAATTAAATTGCATTAAACACATTATTACTCAATGTATATTTGAGTCCTCCTCATAGGAAATAAAAAAGTCTTAAGTCTCAAGTGTTTTTCGTTTGTTTGGCTTAATGTGAATTATAATCAGATGCTCCTTATGTGGGTCAGTCCACCTCAGTTCACCCAATGAGTTAAACCCTACTTTGCCAAATTTTGATGAAACTTAGTATATAAGTAAATCACAGTCAGAAAAGCCAACATTTTAGTTGGATCGGACCAACAGTTTCCGAGATATTGCAATTTAATTTTTTTCACTTTTTTGCGTGGTCACCAAATTTCAGATTACATTTACTCAGCAACTACTGGTCTGATATCAAAAAGGAAGGTATCTCTGGAAAGGGGACATCATAAGGATTCCAGATCTTTATTTTGAGTACTTTTGAGCTGAATTACCTTTTGACCAATATATTGACTTTGAAACTGACAATAAGGGACATGCCCTCAATGACACTAATAGAAAAAAATTTAGCCCTATATGTCTACTACAACATCATCAAAAAATCTGGAGGGTTTTTCTTTTTTATTTTCACACACTGATTCATAACCTCGCAGCATTAGGATTCATTTGCTCGACGGTAGGTGGGTACTTTTTTATTTAACCAATCGCTGCTATTTGATCATGACGGATGTAATGCGCTGCTAACGGGGCAAACTGGTATATTAAGCTTTTCCCAAATCCCGTAGGAAGAAGGGCAATAACGTCTTTCTTGATCAAATTCACCAAACATTCTCTTTGTTCCGGCTTTAAATCCTCGTTCTTGGGAATCATTGCCAACACAGAATATATGGCTCTTCGCTGATTGGCTGGTGCCAAACTCGCACTTCCAGGGTTTTTGCGGGTTTTAGTGTATTGTGATTCCAGACCTAGTCGCTGGAGAGAAATAAAACTGAGCGTAGGCACTAGGTGGTGCCAACCTGGCTAGGTGGAATGACCCATGTATGAAAATAGACAAGATAATTCAACATTATTGATACAGCAATTTATAATCCGGTGCACCTTATAGTCTGAAAAATATGGTAATACTAATTATTCAGAGAGACATGATCACTCAGTCAAAAATAAAATATGCTCATTAATGATTCAAATTTATTTTGTGATTTTGAATAAGGTCTATGAACGTGGGTCACAAAGATTTGTGACTTTTAAAATATGGGTCCCCAGAAAAAAGTTTGGGAAACAAACAAAGATCTATGTGAGCTGGAATCCAGAAAGAAATCCAACAAAATCAATGTGTCTAAAATATAATGGTATAACAATCTGACCATATATATACATATATATATATATATATATATATATATATATATATATATATATATATATATATATATATATATATATATATATATATATATATATATATAAGCAAATAAATAAAAATAAATAACAGTCTCTGAAAATATGTAACTCCTTATAATAATAGTCTGTGATAATATGTAACTCCTTCCTCTGTTACACGCATGCTATAGATAAGAAAAAAGATTGAGAAATGATTTGTCATGAAACTAGGCTTCTAATGATAGGCTGGAGCACAGGAAACCCACACACACAGATATAAGCCGAAACAAAAATCCCATTAGACTTATCTGGCAGTAATGTGTGTGTCTGACCTGTCATTGAGGCAGCAGTAGATGATGGGGTTGTACATGGTGGAGCTCATGGCCAGCCACATGATGAACAGATACACTTGCTGGATGTAGCGCTCCTCAAACATGTCCGGAAAGAACTGGTGCAACAGAAAATACACGTGGTACGGCAACCAGCAGATCGCAAACGTGCACACCACTACGATCATCATCTTCACCACCTGAGGGAGGACAAAACAAGAGAGATATCAAAGTAAACAGTGCGTGATTACTATTGTGTTTTGGTAGAAATGTCAGATGGTTATCGGTGAGCAATTTCGGCTACGAGACCTGCATCAGATTTGCCATTTCAGAGAAGACTGCAATCTGCACTGAGAAACAAGACTTTCAGAACATATTTGTAGCTCTGCTCTACAGGTACACCAAGTTTTTTCTATAAAATTACAGGATTATGTTACTCTTTGTGGAGTTCTACTATTCTACTATTTACATTAATGCAGCCTTTGTGATTTGATAATTGTGGTAACTCAAAATTTCAAATTCAATTCATTTGCAATATATTGTGCAGCTCCAATTGTCATTATATAGGGGAGAAAAGGTGGTCAGTTATGATAGTTTGAAAGTTTGGAGTCGGTGAAACAAGACGAAGTAACATACACTTTATCGCACACCTAAGATGTAATCAGAGGAGACAGCTATCTCTACAGTCTGGCAAATTATCTATTTAAGCAGCCTATAAGCATGTCATCATCAACAGGGAGGTACAAAACAGGAAGTGACAAAACATGCAAAGGGACTAGCACAACTGTCTGACATAAAGAAATGTCTAGTTAAAGGTGCATTATGTAACTTTTCTGGTGGAGGGTCTGTCAAAAGGAGGGTCGTCAGTTACTTCTCAGTACAAACATAAAGACGCTAGGCCACTTTTACTCAAAATGATGCGGAATCATGTTATTGACATTAACGCCGTTCATAATCACCTACACAACATAAATCATAGGCTACAACACATGAACCACGACTAAACCAGGACTGAACCTGGACTGAACCAGGACTAAAACAGAACTGAACTAGTACTGAATCAAGCCTAAACCAGGACTGAACCAGGAGAACTAAACCAGGACTGAACCAGGAGGACTAAACCAGGACTAAACCAGGTCTGAACCAGGACTAACCAGGACTAAACCAGGTCTGAACCAGGACTAAAACAGAACTAAACCAGGACTGAACCAGGACTAAAACAGAACTAAACTAGTTCCTAGTTCAGACCTGGACTCTTATGTCTCAGTCACTATAGGGCAGTAGTGCAGATATCATGAGTCTATGCAGGTTGTTTTCACCATTGCCAACAGCTCTGGTTTGACATTTAAGTTGTAGCTATTTTATTTTTGTTATTTTTTTTTTTTATAGGAGAAGTGGGTAGACGGCGTAACCCCCTGTACCACGCCCACTACACCCCTGGCATGGAATGTTTCACTATATCTCATCTCACCTTTCTGTAATCATGGAGACCAAACCAGACCAAGTTACAGGTCAGATGATTTTGACTCACTGTCAAAATGCCTGCTTTTCTAGGTATTTTTGAGCTATAAAACCACCTGTAATTGAATAAATGTCCGGTAGAGTTGTTTAAAGTTTAATATCCACAGACACAAGCAGGTGATGGACCTTTCAACAGAAAAGTTACACAATACACCTTTAAGTTAAGTGAGCCATTCTACTGCGCATTAAAGCTGAAATGTATTTTCATGGGGTTGTGTGAGGTTCAAAATGAATAGTTTTGTCTGTAGGATAAAAATCAGTAACTCTAAAGAAGAAAGAGTGTTTTGTTTTTTGTATTTGTGGTTAGAAGTACGTAAAACAAAACAAGAGCGTATTCTATGGTTGAAAAAAATAGGATGGATATTTTCAAGAGGGAGATCTGATTCCCAGCACTAGTAAATAAACTACAACATATTTTTCTGTGTATTTTGTTCAACCTCACAGATTATCAGAGCAATGCATAATGTACGGCAACTTATAACTGGTTATTGTCAAAAAGTATAGATAATAAAAAGAGAAAGAGAAAAAAATTTGAACATTGCGATCTCCGTGTTGTGTAACTTCATTTGGTTTTCATCTTGGTTGATAAATGATACAGTCTTTAAGAGGAAAATAGAAACTCCACTGTTACAAAGACCATCACAGGGAAGTAGTGCATTATGTATATCTCACATTACCATACATCACACGCTTCATTAGCCATTTACTTTTCAGTTGATGCATGTTTTGTGTGCCATTCAGAGCCAAAAAATCACTTAACAAAGCTCCTTCCAGCACAGTATGTAGTCTTTTGTTGGGCAATATTGATAATAGCTTTACACGCGGGAGATTGATGGAGGGAGTGCGTTGCTGAATTCAAAGATGTAGCATAGAGAGAAGCACAGTACATCATAATGTCCACTGTTGGGCAAGTTACTTCAAAACTGTAATGTGTTATTTATTATTTGTTACTGTCATTTTAAAGTAATTTGTTACATTACAATATTACTGCTTTTAAAATGTAAGACATTACACGACTATTGCATTACTTTGAAGTTACTCTCACCAAATAACTGCGAAGATGCTGAACTTTTGGGCCGTACATGGACTGAACTAGGACTAATCCAGGACTGAACCAGGTCTAAACTAGGTCTAAACCAGGACTATACCAAAACTGAACCAGGACTAAGCCAGGACTAAACCAGGTCTAAACCAGAACTATACCAAAACTGAACCAGGACTAAGCCAGGACTAAACCAGGTTTAAACCAGGACTAAAAACCAGAGCTAAACCAGGATTAAACCAAGGACTGAAACGAGGACTTAACCAGGACTAAACCAGAGCTGAACCAGAGCTGAACCAGGACTGAACCAGGACTATACCAAAACTGAACCAGGACTAAACCAGGTCTAAACCAGAACTATACCAAAACTGAACCAGGACTAAGCCAGGACTAAACCAGGTCTAAACCAGAACTATACCAAAACTGAACCAGGACTAAGCCAGGACTAAACCAGGTCTAAACCAGAACTATACCAAAACTGAACCAGGACTAAGCCAGGACTAAACCAGGTCTAAACCAGAACTAAACCAGAACTATACCAAAACTGAACCAGGACTAAGTCAGGACTAAACCAGGTCTAAACCAGGACTAAACCAGAGCTGAACCAGGATTAAACCAAGGACTGAAAAGAGGACTGAACCAGGACTAAACCAGAGCTGAACCAGGACTAATCTTGGACTAGGACTTGGAATCTAGGACTGCCCCTGAGAGAACCCCGAGCTCGTGGAGCAGGGTGTCCGCAAGGCGCGATAGGAGCACAGAGCTCTGCTACAGTCCTTTCGCCCGCGGTTACCCTACAGCCTATGCGGGTGCACCTCCGGGCCCATCTCGATATTCGCAACAGTAACAATGGCGTTTCATCACTGTTGATATCACGGTGATTTTAGCAAATTTGTATGAAGAAAAACAAACTTCAATCCAGGTTAAAAATCCACTGTGACGCGCGTTACTGACATTTGTACTGAGTAAAATATAAAAAATTTTTCCCTGTAATGTCTTACATTACTGCATTACAGCAAAAAGCAATGCATTACAGTAATTCATTACTTTTATAAGGCGTTACTCCCAACACTGATAATGTCAAATATTTTTGTTAATCAGCACAATCTGGAGCCAAGACATAGCTACCTCTGACCGCAGACAAGTTATAATGTTTTCAGTTTCTCCATTAACACTCATTTTACTCAGTACTTTTGCATATTATATTATTAGCACTACTTATAAATAGACAACCTCTACTGAAAGCAGCCTCGGTGTCAGATTATGTGTCTTAACTTTACTCCCAGAAGCACTTTGCTAAATCATGACATCAAGTGTAAGTAAGCTACTGTAATGAAAACATGTTGCATAAGTCTCCACCACTGTCTTACCCGTCAGCCCCAAAATATATCTCATTACTGGATGAGTACGGCAAGCCCACCCAGGTTTAACTTTACCAGTTGTGAGCAGCAATATCTGTCTTCCGTTGCCCCCAGTGTCATGAAAGATAAATGGTATGACGTGATGCATTCAAGGTGTGCACGCTTCACCTCCTCCTCCTATTAATAAGCCTGTGTCAGGTGAAATAAAAGAGGAGCTATACGTCCACACAATGGCCCAAGTCCTGTTTGAAGTGCAGTGTTTGAGATGGAAATGTGAAGCATGGAGAGGTGTCATTATACTGGACATAGGCTATAATAAAGACTAATAGAGGTGTAGGTGCTAGACAGGGTTGTTAAAGGTGCACTGCATAACTTTTAGGTTGTGGGTCCATCGGCTGTGTTTTGCTACAGAGATGTCATTGCTCTGCCTGGAATCTTCCGCATAATGACATTAAACAGCTCTACCTTTTATTTATTCAATTACATGTGGTTTTGTAGCTCGAAAAACAGGCATTCTGACATACTGTGAAACATTGTAGACAAACCAAAAACATCTTCACCCACATTTATGAATTCTTTCCAAAAACACAGAGTCTGGGCAGGTCCAAAATAAGTGAGAGGTGGTTTCATTTTTCAGTTCGCAAAATGCAGTTTGTGTCCACTGCCCTTCTAAGATGATTCTTTAGCAGATAACAGCGATGTAGAAGTTGGTAGCAGATTTTGCCTTGCTGGTGATGAGATATTTGTGAGGTAATGTCCGTACATTTTTCCATGGGATATTGTCAATAGAGTCTGGCTGCTAACTGCTAGGGCTCCGTTTGGGAGTCATATCATCTGTCATCATATCACTGAATACATCTCAGAACGTCTAATAAACAAAATGTGAACCAAATTGTGTTAAATTAATACTACTAAGTTCAGAAAAATATTGGAACAAATTTATAATTTTGTTGATTAAAATAAAATGGCAAATATTTGTAGGGACTATTTGTCCCCACCATCCCTATGTAAACCTATGCCCATGAAAGCATTTGATGAACTTGCCACAGGAAAAGTTACACCAGCACCTTTAAACCACTTAGTGCGCTGTCACTTCAGTAAATTTTTAAGAATTGGAGAAATACACTGTGGTTTGTAGATTGTGGTATGAAGGAGTAGTGACTCATGGTTCATTCAAATCCAAAAGTTAACGATAAAATCCAGGCTGTGTATATTGTTTACTTTACCAAAATTGGCATTTTAGAATCATTAACCATCACCAGTTAATAATAGTTTC